CCCGGCTGCCCTTGTGCATTAGCAGCTTTTGATCAGTTGGTCTTTATTTTATTTTTTAATTCAAAGTTAGGACATTTCTCAGTCCAAGTAACAATAATTTCTCAGTATATTTTAGGAAAAAATTCAGAATAAACCCAAAGTGGGTGAAAATGTGGGTCTCATTTCCAAGGTTTAACATTGCAGCTGTAGGTATCGATAGCACTTGAACTCCCCAAAGCACCAATATTTTATTTTCAGCTCGTAGTTTTGCCTTCTCATCATAACATAAAGCTATGGAAATGTTTAAAACTGTTTTTCATGAGGAAACAAGGCGACCATATTGTGAGGCCACATCTTTTCTGTACACCCAAGTGGGAAGCGCGTGTTGCGTGTGACTGAGTACAACGCTACAAATCGTCACAACGTGATCAAGCCGTCTTGCAACAGCTAGAGATAGTGGGGGACATCTTTTAAATTGGGTGAATAAAATGTTTTCCTCTCTTTTAAAACCTCTGACATGCGTGATCAGCTTGGTCATAAAATGTAATTTGTTTGCCTTGTAGGTCTGCCAGACCCGATCATCAAAAACCATTTCCAAGCTGGCCTACCATAAAGGGGTGGTAATAGTGAAGTGCCCCGGCTGCAAGAATCACCACGTCATAGCAGACAACTTAGGATGGTTTTCAGACCTGGAAGGAAAGAGGTAGGTGTGACAGCAACACTATCTCTTATTTAGCAGTGCAAAGGACTGTCGGGATGTTACCGCATCCTCCTGAGCTGATAAGTTATTTCTTTCATGCTTTTTAAATGTGGTTTAGATAAAAGCAAAAATTTTGTTGGGTATAAATCTCTGTTTCATACAGCTTCTTAAGGTGCACAAACTGAGCAATCTAATCTGCTATACAGTGGACATTAGTCATTACCTATGATCCAAATATGTGGTTTAAAGGAGAGCTGGTAGCAGTATGATGCACAGACAGCCTTGTTGGTGTTGGCAAATGAATCGCTCTCTCTAGTTTGGTTCTTTTGTTCTCTGTTAGGCCTCATTAAATCACTGCTAGTTTTCCCTGAGTGTTTCAAACGCGTGGACCAAAATGCTGTTGATTGTATAATTTCAGTGCTTTCTAACTCCCTTAGATACCTTTTTTTTTTCTTTTTTTTGCTCAGCTGTAATAGCTAATAATGTGTTTCTAAGGCTCCTGATGGAGGAATACTGTGATAATATTTATGTGTGGATTCACTGCATATTGTTAATGCTGAGAGTGGAGCATAACAGCCTCCACCTGAGTATTGCATCCAGCCCGTGCCGTGGTGTCACTGTTGATCTTCAAATTGCTGTTCAGGAATATCGAGGAAATCCTGGCAGCCAAAGGGGAGAAGGTGAGACGTGTGGTTGGCGAGGAAGCCCTGGAACTGCTTCTGGAAAGCACTGCAGATACCGAGCCCCAAAATCCTCCTGCGGAGGGAGAAGGTGGGGAGGCTCCATCGGAGACCGTCGGCAAGGGACCGACCTCATGAACTGCTTTTGTGTCCTTCTGCTTGTGGCAGGGAGAGACTTAGAATTTCTTTCCCCATTTTCATTGTCTTTGTTTAAAATAAATGCAGGGAGGCACCGGCCTTCTTATTTTGTGTCTTTGTCCTGTGTCATTTTGCCTTTGACCAAGGTAATGTTTTTAGAGAAGGAATATGGGTATTTTCCCTGTTACTTGCTTTGTGGACTTTAAAGCCATCCTGAGTGCTTAATCAGCGTCAGCAATCCTGCATCGATCTCTTTTGAGACCAGAACCAGTAATTCTTGGCCAGTGTGTTTTAATCTAAGGAGGAGCAGTTCTGCATGGAAGTTTTAGCACCCTTTTCTGGTCTTATGTTAAGTGTTGTATCACAAGAGCTGAAATTAATATTTGTAAAGCACATGAGGGATAAATAGAGCGTCTAGAAAGCTCTCAGTGTTATTTGACAGCTGTTGAGGCACTCATTATTGCTACTGCTGCACATTAAAATCAGCCAGAAGAAAAAATAACAACTTTGTAACTGAAAAATTTAGGTGTTAACCAGGCACTTAATAACTTGTGTAGTGATGAATCAGGCAGTAAGGTGATGGTACTGCACTTTTCCAGGGCTCAACCCCCCCGACTGCAAAAAAAAATACCTTAGGCAGGAAGCAGCAAAATTCTTAATGTTTTCTTCTCCAGGCTGAACAATCCCAGTTCTTTCAGCAAAACATATCTAGGTGCTCGTGGTGTTTAATTGGCCGAGTAGTCAGTGATGACACTGCATGTATTAATGTATTTATTTATTTGTATGAAGAGTTCATAGTAATTTTGTGTGTTTGGTTATAAACACAGTTCTGAGTGGCAGGAAGGTTGTCATATTTTCCTGTGGGTAAGTAGTATCAAAGTGATTAAACAGCTCTGAGAGGCTGACAGGAACTTAAGTCATCAGCTGCTTTTTTGCACGATCAGATCCTGGTATCACCCAGGTCTCCTGCTCTCGCCCTGTGAGACAACCAGATAATAGAGCAATCCATGTATTAAGAGAGAGGAATCCTACGTCTGGACGTGCTGCTAGGAGAGTGGCTCAATTTTATTATCCTTAACCCGAGACCCAGCATCCTGCCCACATTGTGCTACTGCCTTTGATGGGGCAGAGCAGAATGGCTATTGCAGGACTTATGCTGTCTTGGCAATGGGTTGTTTATAACCTGATTTTTTTTCTCTTTAATGCTGCTTTCTTTGCTTTTCTTAGCTGTTACTATGCCCCAAGCTACGGGAAGCTTAGGGTTTCCTGCGTTGCTCTAAGAACTAGCAGAATTTCTCTTTTACTATTTCTTCAGTCCAGCATCTCCAGTAGTTGATGCTGTATGGAGACAGAGGCTGGTCCAGGCCCCTTAGAGCTGGCAGCTGGAGTGCTCATTCAGCAGGCTGTCATGCTGTCACCTGAGGCTGTAGGAACCAGCTCCCAGGATAGAAGGTGACACATTTTTTGCTGCTGCTTTGCTACGAAATGCAGCGCCCTGACAAGTCAGGGCAGTGTCTCGGCCAGAGCAAGTTGCAGAGCGTGTGGAGCTGACAGATCTCCAGGGTAAGATCGTGCGAGAGACCTGTGTGGCGTGCAGAGACCTCGCTGCTGGCTGCTGCCCCTGTAATCAATGCAGCAAACAGGGTGGTTTGTATAGAGCACAGCCCGCAGGGACTCGTCAGCACCAAACACTGAGGCTGCAGGGTACAACAGTGCAGGAAACGGCTGCTTTTCCTGGGAAAATACTTTCAGCTGGAAGGAGGGAGTTTGTACTTATGTGGGGGAATTTGCGTATAATACAGGAGGATTTGTTGCTTAGATTACATTAAAAATGTGCTTGCTTTTGAGGATTTTTTCCTGAAATGTCCTGTGTCATAGGCAAGCTTCTCTGCTCAGTAAAGGGAGCAGAAAAGCTCACTTCTAGGAGGAGCTCAGCAGACCAGGATTTAGCCAAAGGCTCGGGAGGGTGAGGAGGAAAAGCCTTTCTCCCGAGCTGGAGGTGTGTCAGGTGAAAGCAAAGAGCAGAGCACCATGAGTGTCACTGAAGGTGCAGCAAAGAGGGGTGTTTTTCTTTTTTTAGCTGTGGATGGGAGGTGGCAGCTGCAAAGGGTGGCGAAACGGCATTCTCAGGAGATACCGCAAATACGGAGCCTTTTGCGCATTTCTAGAAGCATCTCATGGTGTCTGTTATGGGAGCGCGTGTGTTCCTGAATTCTATTCCATGAGGCTTGCCTGGAAAATGGGAGCTCCTTGGCCTCCTCTTGCTTTCTGTTTCCCTTCCAGCAAGTCTTTCTTTTGTACTGCATTCCCCTTCCAAAGCCCTGCTCTGGGCTATTGGCTTCTCCCAGCAGGAGTTAACTTCGCCCCCGGCCGCTTCCCAGCCTGGCCGGCTCCCACGGGATGGCTGTGAGGAGCCTGGAAAGAGCCAGGCTGCAGTTTGCAGGGCCTAGGTGCTCTGCAAGTCCCTCACTGCGGGCTGAGCGCCCTTCCAGCCCCATGAAGTTGGATTGCTGGAGCAGGAGGCTCCGGGGAGCGGTGAGGTTAAGTGCCGGGACGCGGCTCTGACGTGACTTGGCAGCGCGCAAATCCCAGCAAGCAGCAGAGCTGCCTCTCGCCTCCCTCCCGGGGCATCCGAGCAGCTGAGCGGCACACATTAGTATCCGCTGCCTGTTTTTCAGATGTCCCTTTCGCCTCCAAACGTGTCCCGGGGGCGCCCCAGCTGCGTCGGGCGCTGAGAGCCGCCCCGGAGCACTGCGAGGCCTGGCTGCCCGCCGGGCGATTCCGGCAATGCCGGCTCTGCCCGGCGGGTGTCAGCCTTGGAGAGCAGCTCCCTGCGGGAATCCCAGCCCAGCGGCACGAGTGGGAAGGGCTGTTGGCCTCCCCCAGCACTGCCCTGTGTACCCTTCACCTTCACATGCTGCAGTTCCTCTGGACCCTCCTCTGTGCGGGCTCCTCTGGAGTCGAGTCCAGCTGAGGCTTTTCATCCTGTTCACACTGGATATCTCTCAGTTTTGTAGATACTGTGTGTGAGACACACATCTACTGGAGGCCGTGTGCCCTTCCCCAGCAGCTAAGGACAGAGAGACAGCAGGTGAGACCCCATCCCTTACAGGGATTTCACGTGTTCTCAGGAATCTAAACCTCTCTCCGTTGCGTATCCGGGGCCCCGGTTCTCAAGTCAGACACAGAGGCCTCTTGTGTCCGAGCACAGAGAAGCGAGACAACCCACGGCGCCTCGTTCATCTTGGCGTGGGCAGCACAGGCGGCCGGGCTCTGTCCTCACTGGGCTCCGTGTCCAGAATCTGCTGCTCTCAGGCCTCCCTTTGTCCTGGAAGCAGAGGTTAAGCCCTGCTCCTAAAGGACAGCTCAAGCTCCCGCAGAAAAGCAGCTCTTTTCTGGGACTGGGCTACAGGGCTGCTTTTTAATGCTCTGTTGTCCTGGTAACTTCTGGGCTTTGGCTGTTGCTCAGAGGCAGGGAATGCTCAGGGCTTTGGCTCCTTCCTCCCTAGCCAGTAAGTACAGTAAGGCAGAGCCTAAGCATTTAAGGCAGGCAGAACTGCCCGTGGTGACTGCTCTTGAAGATAAATTTGTACTCTTAATGTAAAGGGATGTGTAGGTGGCTGCATGCACCCTTTTTTTAGCATTTCATAACTGCTGATGTCTCCCACAAAAAAGTATCATGCCCTCCCACCCTATTCCAAAAGGCCAACATTGCTTCTGCATTTGGCACAGCAGCCACGTTGGCCAGAAAATAGTGGAAATGAATGTTTGTCACTGAAGCTTAGACACAAATATTTATTAAGCACAACCCCCCCGCCCCTTCCCACTGAGCTGTATTTGTTTCTAATATATTAATTATTTTGGCAGATTATTTTTTTTTTAGAAAAAAAAAAGTACCTGTGGGTTGGAAATTCCCCAGTAAAATGACATTAGCAAATACACATGTAAAAAATAAATAAGCTCATACATTCAAGTATATGGCAAATAATTAACACCTCTGAAAGCTTAATGGTCAGATTCCAGTTCACCACCCGGCCGAGAGCTGCGCAGACCCACGGCTGCTCCGTGTCTTCATCTCCAGCGTTTCCCTCCCCTTAGGAGCGCCGGCTGGGCACGTCCTCCCGTCCGGATCTCGGCATCTCCGGGGCTGGGAGCTGCGCATCCTTTTCGTGCTGAAGTGGTGCTGGGCTGAGCGCCCTGTCCAGAGCAGCCCCACAGGGGCACCGGGATCAGGACTGTTTCCAGGAGAAATGAGGAGGAGGAAGGCTGGGAGCTGCGCAGGGAGGAGGCCGGGGGGCAGGTGAGTCCTCCCCGGGGCAGGTACAACGCAGCCGCCCCTCCAGCCGGTCAGTTCAGGCAGGTTAAATGCCCCATAAGCAGCATCACTGGTCTAAAAATCTTACTGCTGGTTGGAAATGTTTCCATTAAATGCATTGCAGTTAGAAAGTGCTGTTTTGTTCAAAATCCGTTTCTCTAGAGGAACGTATCTAGTTTGGCAGAATTCGGAGTCCAAGAGAAGCCTCTCTGGTCAAATTGAGAAAAAAAAATGTTCCACCTCCTGGTGTTAGATCCCTGCTCCCCTCTCTGGCCTTGCCTTGCCCACTTTTCCAAAAAGGAAGGAGTGAAAATAAGTGTAGATCCTGGCACTGTGTGCAGGGCAGAACTGGATTCCCAGCTAACGCCGCAGCTTGGGGCTCCAAGGGGCTCCTTTTCGTGCTGAAGTGGTGCTGGGCCGAGCACCCTGCCCAGAGCAGCCCCCCGGGGGTGCAGGGATCAGGACTATTTCCAGGAGAAATGAGGAGGAAGAGGCTGCTTCCCCCACTGGGGCTGGGCGCCAAGGGGCTGCTGGTGGCTCTGCTTGCTTTTGTGACAAGCCAGGGCCAGAAAAGTTTGCTGCTGTCTAAGCGGGTCGGGAACCTTTCAGGCTTTGTTCCCTTGAAGTCTCCGACCGCTCCAGGCACTAGAAACTAAGAGCAGGAGAGCCTGGGTTCCTGATAGGAAGGTTCTGGTCCAACTCTGCACAGGCGTGTGGCTGGGAAGCCAGGGGACAGCACGGGGCTCTCCTGCAGAGTCCTCAGCAAGCCCAGAACAGGTTTAACAGAGCAGGGGAACGTGGCTGCAGCTGGGGGTGAGGTTTTAAAAGAGCCTGGGTAGCCACTGACCTGGACTTGTTTCCTCCTGTAGGAAGAGCAAAGTCGAGCAGGATGTTCCTGGGAAGGATCCAAGGCAATTTGTGTCACCTCACGATGCAGGCAGGCCAGGAGGATTCCAGAAAGGTGCTCTTCCCTTTCCCCATTGCGTTTAAAGTGTTGTGGAAATATAAGACAGCAAGGCTGGATTTATCTACCCGCTCTGGGCTCCTCCTTCGGCTGCCAGCACAAGTTCCTGGGTTTGCAGGTGACGAGCAAAGGGGCTGCCAAAGTCCTCCCTTGTGCTTTGCCCAGCGTTAGGGTGGCCACGTGAACTAAAATAAAACCTGTGTTTCAAAGCTGTCCCCAGCCTCCGGGAGCAGAGCCTCCGCACGCAGCGCTGAGGTTCAGCTCGGAGAGAAGCCCGTGGTGGAGCGGGAGCACT